CTGAGACTCTGATTTCATGGACCTGGGCCTCACCTGGAGTTCAGGGTTTCCAAAGCTCCTCAGCTAAGTTTGAGAACCACTGTCCCAGCTGATTCCACCGCTTGGGGACCAATCAGAACAAATCCACTTCCTCTTTCCAAAGGTCAGTCCTCCTTAAACACAAAGACCACCTTCCCATTCCCTAAGAGCCCCTCCTTTTTCAGGCTACACATCCGTAGGGGGTCCCCTGTTCAAAGCAGGAGCCCAGGGGACTCCTGAATCTTGGTGTCAGTAAGTGCACCAGTGTGGGGGAAGCGGGGCAGTACAGGTTAGCTTTGAGCATGGTGGGAAGTTGGAACTGGCCATTGCCACTTTTACTGTCCACATCATTTTCCGCATAGTCCTGGTGGTCTTCCCCACGGTCACGGCTCAGCGGAGGAGAACCATCTCAAGGAGAACTGTCTTCTCAAGCCACATGCTGGATGGCACCCGCCAAGCAGTTTTAGCCTGTCAAACGGGCAGCCACGTCAGCTGATGATCATGGTCAGGAGGGAGTTGGAGGGGTCAGTAATCGGTCCTCAGGAGGTGGAGAGAGTGGATGCGCAGCCTTCTACCACTTTCACATTACTCAGAGTGGGTGAGAGATGGGTGGTCTTGCTCCTGTGTGTACCCTGGGTCCAGAAGCTGCACTGCCCCAAACATACCAGGGGTGAAGAGAAGCAGCATCAGCTGGTCTGGACCCTCACTACTCTGCCAGGCAGCAGTAGCCTGTGCACATAGAGATGCCCTGCTGCCTGCCACTCTCTCCCCCTCCCACCCTTCTTTCCACTCCTCAGCAAAATATTTTTTGAGTATCTCACACGTGCTAAGGACTGGGAATATGTTAGGGAACAAGCTGGATAAAATCCCTTTCCTCCTGGAAGTGTGCAGAGGACCAGATCAGTGAGGACGTCTACCACAGTTGACCCCACGTGGGACATCCTGGGCAGCAAGGGCAGGAAAAAGAAAGGGCAACAATCAAATGGTAAAATACTGCCACTATAAAAAACAGTATGAGTTATCTCAAAAATTAAAAAGAAGATTACCATGTGACCCAGAAATTCCACTTCTGGGTATTTATTCAAATAAATCTAAAACACTAAATCAAAAATATGTACACACCCCTTTGATCATTACAGCATTATTTACAATAGCCAAGGTATTGAAGCAATATAAATGTAAGTCAATAGATGAATAGATAAAGAAGATGTGATATACACACACGTGGTGGAATATTACTCAGGTATTAAAAAATAAAAAAGAAATCCTGCCATTTGGAACAACATGGATGGACCTAGAGGGTATTGTGCTAAGTGAAATAGACAGAGAAAGACAAATGCCATATTATTTCATTTATATGTGGAATCTAACAAACAAAATAAATGAACAAACAAAACAGAAACAAACTCGTAGATACAGAGAACAAAATTATGGTCACCAGATGGGAAGGGGTATGAGGAAAAAGGGTGAACAGGATTAAGAAGTACAAATTGCCAGTTACAAATTTAGTCACAGGGTGTGAAGCACAGCATAGGGAACATAGTCAGTAGCCTTGTAATTACTAAGTATATGCTGTCAGACAGGTACTAGAAGCATTGGGGTGATCACTTCATAAGGTATATAATTGTCTAATCACCATGTTGCACACTCGAATCTAATATAATACTGTATGTCAACTATAGCTGAAAAATAAATTTTAAAAAAGATCATTTACTGGTGTCCTTGACTGTCCTCACTGACCAGCTTGCATCACGAAGCAAATATGGGAAAGGCAGGGAAGGTACACGGACAGGCAGGTGCACAGAAAACGGTGCATGCCAGCCTCCCGAGGCACTCATGAAAGGAAAGGTACTAAATGAAAAATTAAAGTAAAAAATTTTGCATCTGATATCCACTGAGTTCATGTCATCCAGGGGGTGGGCTTCCAGAGCCCCCACTCACAACAAGGTGACGGCTGGAGGGAAGGAAACTGCTTGTACAATCTCAGGGGCTCCTTCTCTAGAGGGACCCCTAACCTATTATTTACTCTCACAGACCTCAGCCCCCAGACACGCTATTTGAGCTGCTGGGAGTGAAGATAGGATGACTAAACCTAATGTCACTTAGAATTGCACAAAGTTTGCAGGGCTCCCACAACAGAACATTTTCTTGACAAGGACTGGCACATAAATCTGTGTTAAATCCTCTGCCCAGGGGGCACAGAAGTAGACTTTTAAAACCACACCAAAGACAGGATACTTACTCACAAGGTCTCCAGAAATGATGAAAAATACCAGCACAGCCCTGCTGAGGGAACCTGTTGTAGGCACAGGAGCCACAGGAAAGGCACAGTGAGATGAAAACAGTACAGACCGTGGGAAGCCCTGAATGGAAGTCTGTCTGATGTGCAAGTCCTGTCCCTTCAAAGATGAGGGACTTGGAGTCACGTTTCATCCTCCTGCAAACTTGCCAGCGAGAAGCTCAGGCAGCGCGAGTAAACAGGCAACGCGGCCTGAACCCCAGGGCGTTTCCGTGACTGGTTGTCTGAGTCCGCACTCAACTCTCAGAACCCTCACCGAAAAGTGACACTCTCCATTCATTTCCATTGATTTCCCAATTTCAGTCAGGCTGTGTTTGTCTTTTTTATTTTTGGAGCTCTTTATGAATGTGGCTAGAAATGCTAAATTCAATTCCCATAATTATATACTCATTGTAACTTAACCAAAACCCAAATGAAAAGATAATGAGCTTGAAACACATCTGTCACCAAAATAAACCTGAAAAATGTGAATAATCTACTATGTTACCACTTTGACTTATAAATCGAGACTTACAAAACATTTTCTATCAGTAAAAAGAGAACTGAGATGAAAAAATCACGGCATTTTATCTTTCTCTTGTAAGAATTTTCAAGTACCTCTGGGAGAATTCAGGGTCTGGCAAAGCTGGGGGCGGGGGGGGGGGCCGTGTGTGTGTGTGTGTGTGTGTGTGTGTGTGTGTGTGTGTTGTGCGCGCGCGTATGCTGGGCAGTAAAGGGAGAGTTGGAAAGTCCTGACTGGCCTCCCAGGGCGACAGCATGGCAGTCATGCAGCCATACACAGGGAGCACTGGAAAAGGAAGGGAAGGAAAATGAAGAGAGTTGACTCAGTATGTTCTTTTTTTCCCTTGCGTTTCTATTTTTAACTAGAAACAACCACATTTTCCAAGTGACAGCCAGTTTCAATGCAAATTTCATTCTCACTCTTCCTTCCGATAATGTCCCATTTCTAGCTATTGTTTCCTCTCCCTCAAGTGTAAAAATCTTAGCGTCATTTCTAACTCATTTTGGCCTTTATGCCAAAACCCACATAGCTAGAAGTTTTAGAGTGCCCAGACCATGCTGGGCCATGAGGACACACACACGCTTATGATCACAGTCTCTGTTCTCAGCTAATTTACAGTCTCGGTCGGTGTTGCCCAACAGAACTTCCTTTGATGATGGCGACGCTCTCTACCTGTTCTGGCCAACACAGTAGCTACTAGCCACAAGAGGCTACCAAGTACTTGAGATTTGGCTAGTCAGACTGAAAACTTTTTAAAACTTAATTTCAGTTAACGAAAGTTACAATTTAAATAATTACATGTGACTAGTGGTTACCGCGTCGCACAACATGGGTCTAGATTAAGAGGAAGAGATGTTCTTTAAGGAGACAAGAGACAACAAGCATATAGGAAATGCCGTGGAATGGCAACAGGTGAGCACAGGCAGAGGTCAGAGAACGAACATGACTGTGGACAACTCGGGTGGAGGAGGATGGCTTCTCAGAGGAGGTGTGTCTAACCCAGTATCTTGTGAGAAGCTACAGCATAAAGAGCAGAAAGGAGAGGGGAAGGCATTTCTGACCCAAGAGTTGTTTCATCAGAACACTAAGAGGAATAAGCGCAGAGCCCGTTAGGGAAATCCGGCACTGACTGCAGGGCAGAAGGTACTTGCAGAAGGTCAAGGTTGCTATCCATGCCTGCAGGGTTATGCCACGTTGGCAGCAAGGGATTCCAGGATGGGAGCAGACTGGTGGTAGGGCAGAGGGGCATGGATAGATGCATGGGTGAGGACCCCCAAGTTGGTTTGGTATGTTGTGTTTTAAGGGTCAAGAGGCTTTCCTACTGAATGTAGTCCACAGTGGGCTGCCGAAGAGACCTGGTACCCAGGAGAAAGGGCAGGGTTGGGGCACGTAGGAGGGGTCACATGTCCCACCTGAACAGGACAGCTGACATCAGCTCCATTTAACTGTTACAGCTGATGTTCCTGGTTACCCATATATGGAAACTGGGCCCCAAATTTCTAGAATTTCTGACTTTCAGAGAGGCTAGAATTTGGGATAAAAAAAATAAAATCTGAATACTTGGACACAGAAACTAACGTGAAAACGTTAAAACACTCTGGGAAAAGCCAAAGAGCAAGAACATGGACTGATTGAGGTCCACATGTCACTTGTTTGTGACATCTGACCTAGAAGATGTGCGGGGTTTCACACGACCTAATGGATAAAAGCAGAGCTGGAAGGAAGAGAGAGGTCCAGAGGAAACCAGTGGTGTGTGCAGCAGATGGTATGAGGACAAAGAGGTTGAAGCCACTGGACACTGTCGGGGAAGGCCTCCTTGATCTTGGACAAAGCTCCTCCCTCCCACCTTGCCTTTCTTCATCTCTCCCTCTCCCTCACAGCCGAGGGGTAAGGCGAGCAGTCCACCATAACCAGGGGCTCGTGAATAAGTGGCCGCTGAGGAAACAGAAGCATCAGCTTAAATGAACTCAAATAATTCTAGATGATATAGCTTTTTACAGTGTGTGTTTTTGGTTCACATAATACCCCATTTCCCTTTATAGATTTTTCCCACGCAGCCATGTGTAAATATCTCATTTCCTCCTTTAGGATATAAAGCACCGCTGGCTGCAGCCCCATACCTTCCCTCCTGTGAGAGCCGCATTTGATTCTCATGAAGAAGACATGTGCCTTTTAGCTCACCTCTCGGTCCAGCAATGCAGGTGACACAACGGTGACAATGTCTCCTTTTTCAGGATCGATGTAGAACATGTTGGGAGATGGCCTGTCAGGCGTCTGTTGACGGATGTTATACCGCAGGAGGGCATTGTCTGTGGACGGGTCGTCCGCATCAAAGGCTGTCATCCGCATCACCGTGGTCCCTAAGTGGGCAGGACAGAAGGACAGGAGATGGTCACTTGGAGACGGTGACAGGCAGGTGGAGCCCGTGTTCCCCACCCAGGCAATGGCAATGAAGTGATATGCCAATTGCTTTCCAGATTGAAAATGGAAAGCATTTCCCCAGCTCTGTTATTGTTTAGCTTTTCTTCCCCCCTCCCTCCCGACTCCATCACGTTAAAAGACCTGAAATAAAGAAATCTTTGCTGTTCAGCAGATTGACAGCTTAATTTTTTCTTCTGCCGATAGGCTGTTCATTTTCAGGGGCTTTCATTCTGTTGAAGATGTGGCTCCACAACAACGGCCTTCATTTTAAAAGCTCTCATTGAATGCCCGCTCTGTGTGGGGCCCCGGCCCCAGCGTTGGGGAACAGTGGTACCAAATGGCACATTCTGTGCTCTCCGGCAGGTCGGAGCTTAGTAGGAGAGGTAGCATATAAAAATGTAAAAATAATAAAGCATATTCAGTGCATTGAGAGAGGGCATTAATGAGCACAGAGAACAACCTCATCTAATCTGGAGTCCAGAACAAGTCCCTGGTGCAGACACCTATGGGGTGAGCAGGTGGGAGCAAGGTGAAGAAGGGGGATCTCAGTGGGAAAGACATTCCAGTATGAAGGAATGTGAGCAAATGTTAATTGCGCACCATCTGTGTGGCAGCCACACTGTCTTAGGCGCTTTAGGTATAAAGACAATATAAAGATGGGGGCGACATGAGGACTGTTTGATATGTCAAGGCTGAGAAGTGGGTCTTGCTCACATACAACTGATATGAAGGGGAACGTTCAAAGACTTCTCAAAAATCATGGAGCAGCAACAAGTGAAAACAAAAGCATTCACCTTCTTGGCATCTACCCTTGGGAAACTCTCACACAGAGTTTTTTGTGAGGTGTTCATGGCAGCATTATCCATCCTGGTGAAGCACCGGGGCACGGCCTAACTGTCCAACAACAGGGATTGCCGAAGTGATGGAATCCACCACACTAAGGACAATTTTGCAGTAGTTTAAAAAATGTTGTAGATATAATATGTTCTAACAGGGAGGGCCCTCCAAGATAGAATATTGAGTGAAAAATGGCAGGTTGAAGAAGATTAACCATAGCAGGGTTTCACTTTAGTGAACCTGCCTGCACACAGAAAATCCCACGATACTTCATGCGTCTATCTTGCAGGTGCAGTTGATGTGCGTGAGTGCATAGGAGAAGGTCTGTTAAGGTGAATTTCATATGGGTTACGGTGGTTAAATCTGGGAAAGGAGAGAGGGGACTGGGATTAGCTGTGGTAATGAGGGAAGATTTCGACTCACTCTGTAATGTTTTGGTCATTTTTACAAGGAGAATATATTGCTTTTGTAATTACAATTTAATTTAAAAAGATCATAATCCTACTTCCAGAAACATGGTCTAGAGCAGAATCAGGCAAATTTTCCCGATGGTCTTGGCAATTGTGAGCCATCATATTTAATTCAGGGTAACCTGCCCAACCATAATTTTTCATGGCAGTTTCGTCTTCTATGTCTATCCAACCCCATCTTCTGATTCTGAATACTTCTGGACCCACAAAGTGTGACCTAACTGGTAGGAGACAAAAGCTGTAGACCTGCTGTTCCTAGCAGGAATATTCATCTATGGAAAATATTGAAGCTTAAAGGAGAGACTGCATCTAGCTCAGCTACCAACCCGGGGTTCCTTTCACTTTGACAGCAGTGCTTCTCAAACCATCAGAGCCAGTTCACTTTTTCCCACCATTGGAGCCAGATTATCAGCCACTAGGTCTGATTGACCGGGTAAACAAGGAGACCCTGACCACCCTCAGGTCGGATCAGTTTGTTAAGCGGTCTCAGTTAATTTCACCAACGTTCCCATTAAGACTGATGCATCAAGAGCTAGGAATGCGGCCCAACACAAAACTGTAAATTTACTTAAAACCTTTGTTGTGCTCATCAGTTTTCATTAGTGTTTGTGTATTTGATGTGTGGTCCAAGGCAACTCTTCTTCTTCCAGTGTGACCCCGAGATGCCAAAAGGTCGGGCATCCCTGGTAGCGCAAGAATAGAAAATTCTCGGCATGTGCAGCCCCTGGCCTTTGGAAGATATCAGCAGACCAGGCAGCTCTCTGTTTTCCATTAAGCCACACTGCGGAATCAGGGTCTCTTTCAACCCAGTGGTCCGGCAGCCACTCCCAGTCCATCTACTTAACGTGAGGAGTGACACTTACTTGCCTTCCTGGTCTAGGAAACAGGCCTACTGGAGAAATCTCCATCAGAAATCAGAGGCTCACAATCTCCATGGACATGTTAAGTGAGGCTTCGGTGGCCAAAGGCACAGAAGGAGGCCACAGACCCATCAAGTCCACGCCAGACAGTGTCTGGTGAAGTATGCATGACCCAGTGCCTTGTGCTTTGTTGGTGTCTAATGAACACTTGATTGATGGAATCCGTGTCCTATTTAATCTGCTTTTAATTGAAGTCAGAGACAAACAAGCAAAAGAGTATCAAAATGAAGTCATCATAGCTTTCAACTGTCATCATTTGCTTTACAATAATTAGAGGAAGAAAAAAAATCCTCCCTGGTTGATGAATTTTCCATTTTCACTGGGAAATTCATTGATAATGTCTTTTTTGGTTGTTATGTTTAGAGATTTGATAACAGGATACAATAAAAGCTTCTCCTGGAATATTCCCAAGGTTACCCAGAAATGTTTTTTATTTTAACGAATTGTCAGAGAGAAAGTGTACTTCGTCTTAAGCCCTGCCTTTGTCTTAACCCAAGCGTAAATATTGACTTGGAGTTACTTCCGAGGCCCACCTCTGTGGAGACTGAATGGCGCCTGTGTCGTGTAAAGAGGTTTGCAGCATTAAAGAAATGTCTAGGCTCAGGTTTTTACTAACTCAACCCTCCCTGAGCCTCAATTTCCCATTTATAACGTGAAGATATTAGTAACACTTTTGTCTTAGTTATTGTAAAGATTTAATGGGATAATATTTTAAAGAACTCAATACAGTGCCTGGTGCATTGGTGTTCTGAAAAGGGTGCTTTTACTATCAAATCTGTGTGGCAGGCAGTGGCCTCAGACAAAGGGGCGCACGATTGAATTGCCCTCAGAACCTGGAACAGCAGGGTGAGTCCCGGAGCCCATGATATCGCGCGGTGTCCCTGCCTCACCTGCTCCCTTCCACCTTGCCCATGGTCTCAGCTTCCACATTTGGCTTTCTACTATGGAAATCACAACTCTATACCCACACACACACACGTGCACACACATGCACGCGCACGCACATATGGTCATCTATACTGCTTCTCCTTATGGAACTCTAGTCTCTGGGCAGGACCAAGGCTCTGTCCTGAGTCCCAGTCCACTTTGTGGGTCAATGCCCTGTTCTTACCGGCCCTTCCCATGGGGGCTGGGTCAAGATTTTCACGCTGCCAGGTCCTACAATGGCTGGATAAACTTTCCAATCAAGCTTTTCCTAAATTGTATGCAAGGGCCTCTGTTTCCATGGGTTCAGCAAAGAAACAAATTTGATAAATATGCTTAACCCCAGTTAAGCACGTTTTCCCTCTTGGAGGACTTCTTGGTGCCCTTAAAAAGCAAACGCATGTTGAAAATCTCCAAGAGAGCAGGATCTGCAGCATTTCCCAAACTTCTCTGTTGATGAACCTCTTCATTTAAAGAACATCGTATGCGATGGGCCACATAGTCCTAAATTGGAGCTCTTGAAGGGTCCAGACTGTGTTTTGTTCATCATTGTAAGCTCAGTATCTGACACATAGTAGGTCCTCCATCGATGCTGTCTGACTAAAAATGCATTCTTTTAATTCACTGTGGCTGTCTTGCTCCACCCTGACCAGAAGCCACAGATAACTTGTCTAATGAAAAGGGTGGACAATGCTGTCTGGGCATCCTTCATAACCAGGCATGTTTCACTGCCTCCTCTGAGCTCTTTTTTTGCCCCCTGGAGGCCCTGGTTGGAACTGGATTCAGCAGTGATACACCATTTCCAAGCCCAGGGCATGTTAATCAGGTAAGCATCAGGACGGCTGTTCTGGTTGCCCGCAGGTAGCCTCTAGCCTGACCCTGGACTTTAAGGGCTCGTTCATTTCCATCAACCTCGCATTAGTGCTTATCTCGTGCCTATGCGTACTTCCCGATGGCAGAGACATGATAACTATATGACAGACATGGGTATGGGTCCTCTACACAGTACATTTCATTCTTCTCTCCATCACAATATTCTCCTGAGTGTCCAAATAAAGGATAGTCACCCTGTTGTTCCCAGAGCCAGATCCAGATAAATTAGCAGTGGCCCCTCCAAAGCAAAATAAAAGAACTACAAGTTGATAGTTCAAAGTCTCAGGTCGGGCCATCATTTTCCCTTGTTGCAGGACACTGCTGCCAACATGACAGGCTGATGAATGATTGTGATAGTTTTGTCTTGGTCAGGTAGCCCCTTGCTCTGATTAAAGGAAAGCGCTGCCTAGTGTCATGACCTGAAGGCTGGTGTTTGAAGTCTCGCTTCCCTGCGACTTCAAGCAGCGTGCAGCTCTGAAGGTGGGGGCTTTCAGTCTCCATGAAAGGTCAGCCATCTGCAAGTGGGAGGCTCGGTGCCGCCGGTGATGCAATTATTCTGTTCTTGAAATTCCTTTGACTTCATCCTAAAACATTTTCTTCACATGATGAAAAGTGGCAGGCTCTCTCTCTCTCTCTCTCTTTTTTAAAACCATACTCCCATAATCAAATAATATATTGAGACAAGGAGACAAGGTTTAGGTCTGTATCCGGCACCGGATTTCTGATAGCACAGTGGGGCAAACACATCTTTCCAGGGAGATGTGGACTACAAAAACCAATATGAGCAGAGATGGAAGATGTCACTGAGAGCGCTTTTTGGATATAACAAAATGGCTCATCGCCATAAAACCTCAAATTTGTGAGAGGAGGTGGTGTGTTTTAAAGCCACCAAAACAGTGAACTCTGTGATTGAAT